TGGTCTCTGGATTGATGCCTGTTCACTGGTGCGTGTGCCCTACTCCGTTACAGCTCACCTTGTGCAATTTTTTGTGCTGATTGTCTCAGTTGTTGTACTTAAGTTCAGGCTATGCGGTTGTGGGTGGTTATAAGAGTCACCTCATAAGCACAGAGTACCGTTTTGTATATCTTTGCGGTACCGTTTTCCAACCCTACACTCCTCACTTTTATCCTTCCACCCGTGATCGATCAGTACTTTACATTTTTCAAAGTCGACTAATGGAAAAAGGTGAGCCAAGCCGAGCGTCTCCCAGCTTTGACGTCATGATTTCCCATAACCGGCTCGCTTAACACATTCTCTTGTTTCCCAAGATTCATTAAAGTCGTGGGGTTTACTTCGATCTTAGTAGGGATGAGCGAGCTAGAGATCAGGAGAGACAGAGAAAGGTTTACCTTTGCTTGTTTGTAGAATTATTTTCTTTTCTTGTTTTCTTCTTCCCGATTCTGCTTTTGCGCGACAGTACACAGGGACAGCGAATTTGGGGAAGGTCATCCCGATTTCTTTTTGTGCAGGTTTTCTGATTAGTTAGTTTCTTCATAATCTATATTCATCCCGCACACTAATATTGCGTTGTTGCTGACCCCCCCCGTCTCAATTCGCCCACAAAATTTGGCCTTTTTGTCATAGTTCCTTACAACGAGAAACTCCTTCGACCTTGGTCGAGTACTCCGTTGCCTTCCTTCAGCTTTGCCTAGCAGAGAGCACCAAAGTTAAATCAAATTTCTGCTCTACAGCTCCTGATCATGTACACTTTTGGATGACAAGAGGTTAGACGCGATTGATCGATTTGTTCAATCAGATTGCTACTAAATGACTCTGTGGCCTCCTACAGTGTCTGTGACCTTATTGCAAAGTCCAACAGAAGGCAATAATCTGAGTATATGAGGCTAAGGTCAGAGCCGCTCTGTTCTGGGTTTGTGCGATGCGACTTGTACCCCCTTTTGACCCGGGAAAATCAGGATGTTTTACAATCGACGCCTCTGGCGGACGTCAAAGCCGCAGTTCATGAGCAGTTTTTT